ATAATAATAATAAATCCATGAATTAAATGCTCCACCACGAACTGAAAAAAGGTTTTTGAGTAATTGCGTACATTACATTGAATATTAAAGATAGTATTAGAAATTATATTGAACTTTGGACTCTACTGGCCTGATCATCATTTGCACAAACTTTAAGGCAGATTAGCTTTTAGCCAATTTACAAAATGTAATTTACTTACATAAAACCACAATTGTTAAACCACCAACCGGAATGATAATTAGTTGCGCAATTGAAACGTTGGTTATTATCGCGATCTGCATCATACGTTGAGAATTCCATATTAAGATTATTACCCATTACATCGCCTGCATTGCCAGAATATGTTCCCAATGATTTTAGTTTGAAATTTTCCTCCTCTCCTCCAATGAGGAAGTGACTATATCGCGCATATCCTACATAGTCCCCATAGCTCTTCTTCTAAAGGTACAATTCGTGTTTTCGTGATTTCGTCAATAAATGCAGCTTGTCAAGGCCAAGAAAGAATTCTCCTTGCGATAATCTCGCATTGGGCGATTGAAGTCCACAGATCCGTCCTGACGACGCTGAATTACTGTCCAGCCAGAATCGACGAGACTCGAATCACAATACACGTCAAAGGCACTCGATCCAGGCAGTTCTATTTCGTACATACCTGTCTCCGTATCTATGCAGCTGGAAGGTAATTCTTCATTGTTTACCTTTTCCTTATCACTCAATTTATTTCTGAGTTCCTTAATAGCCACATCCTCTTTGGCCAAGCAGTATTTCTTAGTTGATTTACATGATTTTAATTCACTCTCTTGAAACTTAATATGCGCCTCAAGGCTCAATATTTTATTGTTTAGTTCCACACACTTTTCCTCTTTAGATCGCACAGAAGATGCATATCCTAACAAGGGCTTTACGATTGTATAGCAATATTTGCCGCAATGCCTTGTCCAACAACTTGTCGCTTCTCTCACTCAGTATTCCTGGCAGAAATATCAAGAAGATTGGAATTAGTTTCCGGAATATATATATTTGTAATTTCTTAGACCGCACGCGATTGAAATGAATTGAAGACTGAATTCGCTTGATGCGCGTGCTGCATAATATCGAATAAAATAACTAAAATATTAGAATAATAATAATATTGTAGTATATTCTAAATATAAAAGTTACAGTTTATATGGAAATTATTAAAAGAAAATTTTTAATTAACGTATATATGTATATTATAACTTATTCTGACAAAATATAAATAGATTTTTTAAATGAATACTGTTAATGTTTTTATTAATATTATTTTTCGCATTTTTATTATTATTATTTGTATTATCATTATTATTGTCTTCTAAATACATTCGAACGAGTAATTTCTTGTCGTATTAATTGTTGCATTTAGCATTTGTATGCATTAGTTCAAATTCAATTAAGTCCAATGTTGGTTTTGTCAAGGCAAGCCATATCCTCCCAGTTTTGTTCGAGTGTAAAAACAATTGCGACTACAGGCGACACTCGAAATGTTGACGACAACAATGAGCCACCAGGCGCTCGCAAGTTGTTGGCAACTAAAACTCAAACAGTTTCAATAGAACAGCAAAAATGATTTGTCATTTGCAGTGCCGAAAAGCAGCCAAAAGGCATCCCAAGAATGCTGTCAAGAAAATAGAGTTTATATGGCTCTGCATAACGGTAAGATGCTGAGCAGTTCATGGAATGCGGCTACTCGTTGCTTGAGCACGTTTCATGTTATCTCTTTAACTGCAAATCAAAATATATTTAAATGCATTTCTGGCCGCAAAACGCATCACATTTGCAGCTGCTACTTGGTGCCGGCTGTGACGGGGCGGGGATCAAAGTCCGTGTACCTTTTTTGGTGGCCCAAATATACATTGTTGACTTTGCATAATAATTGAGTTTAACTACTGCCACAAGCGTAGCCAACTGCGGGCTGCGGGTGGCGGAGCTTAGCTGCTTGGTTGGACTTCTGTTTGGGGCAAGTCAAATCAAGACAAGTGCAGGACACTCTTGTCTTTCGCTCCCTCTGTCTGTATGTGTGTGTGTATGTGTATGTGTCTGTGTATGTGTTTGGGTTCTTCATTGGAATTTTTGGCAATTTGCATAGACTGCTGCACATAGACTGCAACACACACACACACACATGCTACAGCAGCTGCAGACATATATCGACAGTCTCGCAGCTAGACAGTGAATACCCAGTACAAGGTCCAGTCAATCCAGTCCCAATGAATCCAACAACAAGTTGCAATATCGAACAGCAAGAAATCAGGTATTGAGTAGAATTAGATTTTATATAGTTATGTGTATATAAAACGCAAAACAAACTAAACGACAATTGATAATGTCGTCTAATAATACAGAAAATACATGATCTCGAAGCAATTCAATATCAACATCAATACAAAAAGTATATGTGCCTTCACATTTTTGGCCAAGCTAAGTAAATTATAGTTTAACAAAGGTAAGATTGAATTAGGTAGTTGTCTTTATATTTCTATAATTTTATCTGTCTATACACATGTATT